GAACCCGCCCCATCCAGCTCATGCCCACAGCAGCGATCCACTTAGCCACGCGGGTACCTGCTGGACCCCTCCCCCCCTTCCTCTGGCCTCTTGGCTGTACCATCACCCAGCTCCACACTACAAAGACACAGGACACCAGACCACCAGACCACTGTACTAGGTAAGTTGGAGGGATCATCACCTCCCATCAGAACCTGAACTATCTTCAGGGGAAGGGCAGCTGGAACCTACAGGAGAAGAGGGAGCTCAACTTGGGATTTGCAGCCAGGAATCTGCCTGAATCGCACAGGTCTGGGACTGGCTTGCTGGGACTCAATGACTTATATCTGCACACTGCTACCCATGTTGTCTATTGTGACAGCAGAGACATACCCTGAAGGAGGCCCTTCATTTTTATTTCCAAAATTATTATTATTGGTTTGGTTTTTTTCTCTTATTTTTATTTTTCTTCCTACTCTTTGCAATTTTTTTCTCTTCTTTTTTTTTTTCCTTCTTTCTTTTCTCTTTCCATTCTTTCTCTCTCATGCTCACTCGCTTGCTGCCCCACATTGTTCTTCATCACCCTTTTTGTTCCTGTTCTGGCCCTAATTTGAATTTCTTCTTTTTCTTTTCTTCTCTTGCCCTTGTCCTCTGGCCTCACTGCTAACCTCCCCCTATCCTTCTACCTATCTAGCCCTCCCTCCCCAACTCCCTCTAACTCACCATCCCGAAGGGTAAAGTTGCTATATTGAAGAGTTTATTCACTATAAACATATGTTGGGCTGGTCCTCGATTTTGATTTAATTCACACAGTTAAAGGTGACAGATCAATAACTACCATTTTCTAAGATGTACTTGATGCAATGGTGTTGGTGATTGTATCACTTGGGCTAAGGTGTTGTTATTGATCTAGTCAGTGGTCCTTCCTGGTGTAATGAAAATGAGATAGTCTCAGAGTCATTAGAGTCTCAAAACCTAAACACAAGCTATATCTGGAAGACAAATCTGAAAAGCAATCATTTCACAAGGGTTTTAAACATAAGCAACAAAGATACCTACATTAAGCAATTTTGAAATATCAACCCAGGAATTAAACCAAGGACAGTACCAAAAACAAAAATGAGAAGACATATAAGCAAGGCACAAACGCAGGCTTCCACACCACGAAAGGGAAATTCTGGGGGAATTGAGGTAGAAAAATCTGGTTATCAACCACCTGGACACCCTGAACTGATAGCACAGGAAGTAACAAGGCAGATGCACGAGGCTCTAGAAAAATTCAAAGCAGAAATAATCTCCCAGATAAATACAGAGATGGTGAGCAGAGTGAAAGACATGATTAGAGGCTCTAGAGCAGAAACAGATAAGAAAATAGACGAGATCAGAAACATGCTGGAAGCCATGAATGCCCAGCATCAGAAAGAAATGGAAACCATGATCGGCCAATATAAGAAAGAAATGAAATCCATGAAACAGATTCAAACAGATATTCAGGAGATTAAAAGCTCCACTGAAAGTATCCACAGCAGATTAAGGGAATCTGAAGATAGAATATCAGATATGGAAGACAGGATCAAGGTTAAGTACCATGAAAACAGAGATTTCTTAAAAATAGTATGGGGCCATGAGAAATCAATCCAGCAGCTGCTAGACGATGCAAAGAAGAATAACATAAGACTGATAGGAGTCCATGAAAAAACAGGAGAAAGTACAATTGACATAAAAAAACTGTTCACAGAAGTAATAGTGGAAAACTTCCTAGACAGAGGTAGAGAATTGGACATACAGATAAGTGAGGCATATAGAATTCCAACTAGCCACGATCAAAAAAAATCTACACCTATACATATAATAGTCAGGATCCCAGAAACCCAATAGAAGAACAAAATCCTACAAGCAGTTAGAGAAAAGAAACAAATCACCCACAAAGGAAAGCCCATCAGAATCATAGCACACTTCTCAACACAAACCCTCAAGTCAAGGAGAGCCTGGAGTGAAGAATTTCAAGTCCTAAAAGAAAATAACTTCCAACCTAGACTGTTGTATCCTGCAAATTTATCTTTCAAAATCGATGGGGAAATTAGATACTTCCATGAGAAAGAACACCTGAGATACTTCATGAACACCAAACCAGTACTCCAAACGATTCTAAGCAATATCCTAGAAATAGAAAATGAAGGTCACAACTCCATGAGGCCCAACAGAGGGAAGCCACCAAGCAAGGTAATGATAATGGCTATCTCATAAGGTTTTATAGGAATTGAATGGATGTACATACATAAAACGCATATAGTAAGCACTTGTTAAATGTTACCTATTACTATCCCAGTATGTTGGGTACCAGAAGACCTACAGGGCTCTAGTTTCTCACCAAATGAATATGACACATAATGCTTACCATCTTTTTTGTGTATGAGCTTAAGTTTCCTCACTCTCAAATATCATATTTTCATAAAATCATAATTCATTTCAATTTATAATCATCAGACATGTGCCACAGCCATTCTTTCTGGGGTGAGGTAGAATCTCAGTGTTGTTTTCAACTGCATCTCTCAAATGACCAGTGATGTTGAACATTTTTTCACTAAACTTGCTGGAAGATAAGTTAGGTAGAACTCTTGAAGACATTGGCATAGGAAAAGACTTTATGAACAAAACCTCAGTAGCATGGGAACTAGCACAAAGAATCAACAACTGGGATCTCATCTTACTAAAAAGCTTCTACACTGCAAAAGAAACCAGCAACAAAGCTAAGAGACAACCTACAATGTGGGAAAAAAGTTTTAGCAGCTGTACCTCAGACAAAGGACTACTATCTTGAATATATAAAGAACTGAAAAAATCAGACTCCTCAAATTAAAAGACCCAATTCAAAATTGGACATCTGAAATGCATAGACATTTCTCAAAACAAGAAGTAAAAGCAGCAAATAAAAAAATGGAAATGACGTCTATGTAAATAGGGAAGGGTGGAGGGGGCGCACAGGTAATGGGGAAAAAATAAGAACCAAGATACATCATGTACAGGTACAAGCACCCAATGACAAATGTAAACATATTGTATACCTAAAATGTACCAATAAAAGAACTTAAGAATTTAAAAAAAATGGGCAAAGAATCTTAACAGACATTTCTCCAAAGAAAATATACAAATTACCAACAAACACAAAGATGATGACTATTAATAGCCATAAGGGAAATGACAATTAAAACCACAATGAGATACTTCACACCTGCAAAGATGACAATAAAAAAAAAATCCAAGTAATAATTTTGACAAGAAAATGGAGCAACCAGAACTCTCATACCTCACACATGGGACCAGAAATTGGTGCAATTGACAGTTCATCAAAAAGTTAAATTTAGAGTTCTTATCTGATTGCACAATTCCACTCCTAGACAGATACCCAAGAAATATGAAAACATATATTCACATAAAATGTACACAAATGTTCATAGCAGCCCAAAATGGAAACAACCTGAAATGAAGACAAACATGATATATGCATACAATGGAATATCATTCAGCCATTTAAAAAAGAAACAATCCACTCAAACATGCTATAGCATAGATGAACTCAAAAAACATTATGTCAAGATGTGAAAGAAGCTAGTCATTGAAGACCATATAATTTATTATCACACTTATACAAAATATCCAGAATAGGGCTGGGGATTTGGCTCAGTGGCACCGTGTCTGCCTCGAAAGCACAAGGTCCTCAGTTTGATCCCTGATAATGGGAAAAAAAGTCCAGAATAGGAAAAGCTAGAGACAGAAAGTAAATTATTGGTTGCCTAGGGAACGTGGTGGTGGTAAAGCCGATGAAAAGAAATATTAATGAATACTGGATTTCCTTTTGGAGTAATGAAGATGTTCTACAATTAACCATGATAATAGTTGTATAATTCTGAATATACTGAAAACCGCAGAATTACGTGATTTAAAATGGTGAATTGCATTGTATGTGAATTGTACCACAATTATTTAAGGTGGTATTTGAAAGTGACTAATGCTATACTTTAAAATAGAAACATACAGTCATCACAATTACTAATGAACATTTACCAAGCAAAAACTCATATAGAAAGTCTTTTTATAAAAAAAAAATCAGGATAAAATAGCCTTGAGAATCCTGGCTCAAGTAAAAGTGCAAAGACGCTCCTTTTGAAGTACTTTCTTTATTGAGCAATAAAGTTAGTCTTCCTAAAATAAATTCCTGTGAGAGAAATTGGAACAATTCCCCAATGTTCAATGAAGAAATGGGCTTTTAAAGGTTTTTTCTCTCTCTCGTTCTTATATACAAGTCTTAAACCTTGAAGATATTTTAAGGAAAAGCAGTTCAAATAAATTCTGAGATCTAGAAATTTTTTCTTCTCCCTTTTACTGGCAAGGAGGAGATGGGCAAAAGAAATGGAATGTAATTAGGAAAAATAAACTTGATCACTTCTTCCCTTTAAAATTCTTTTAGTTTTTGCTTTTATGCTTTTAATTTACATCAGATCAAACATTTCCAGACTAAGTATTCTTCAGAATCTTGCCCAGATTAAATCACCCCAATAAATACAAAAATTCCTATTTTCTTGATATTTTAATACCCTGCTTTACTGAAAGTAATAAGAACTGCTCTTTGAAATAGTTTTGATGGTCAAAAGCACTGATAAAAATAAACGTTGCCTTCAATTATTAATTTCTAGTTAATCATACTATTTCCACGTAAGTTCTTTAAAACTATATTTAAGTCACTTTAGTCAATAATAAGCTATTTTCCTGCTGTCTCATTATAAAAGCATATGACAAGCCTTGATAGAGCACACAGTTCTTTTAAATTGTCTAAAAATCTGAATTCACTGTGAAATGACTAACAGAAACAAGGCATTTAAAAATCAAAACCATATAAAACTAAGAATGTGTAATATACTAATAACAAAGAAGGGTAAAACAAGCTCTGTATTTGACTGGAAAAGAACATCTGTGTCTTTAAGCAGTCGATCAGAACCACACCAATGAGATAGTATACTTACCTGGCTTTGGCACTGAGTTGGTCACTGACTGGGGAACTTTCTGGTTAATTAACTCAACACAATGTCCAGGGAAGAGTCCCACCTAAAAAGAACAACAAACAGAGGATTTCAAACCAGTAAAAAGACCAGTAAGTGAACACTGCCAATTCAATTCCAGTAATGTACTCCACAGGCCCTCCCAAATGATTCTATTCTTCCAAGATTCTCAATAGCAGATGATGCCAATTACACAAACAAATAATGAAACAATCTGTTGCTATGAGTATATAAAGTTATGGGGGGGGTTCTATCCAAATATCTAAGTCTGCTTTTTAAGTTTTAGTCTTTAACTTCCCAAATTTCTTTTACTCCAGTTAAAATATTTAGTGTGACAACAAATTAGGCATGCACTTGATAATATTTTTACTGCTTACTGATTCATTTTGCTGAAATCTCAATCCAGTTATGTAGCCATCTCTGTTGTCAACTATTGTTTATTGCCTCCTTTGTGATTTTTTTTAAAAAAATCAACACTACACCAAAAAAATCAATTTTTTTCCTAAATTTTCTCTTCACTCTCCTACAGGTTTTATGAAAAAAACCCCACAATTAAAATAAATTTCTGAAATCCTCTTTTAAAATGCTGGTGATCCTTGCTGTTCATGAACCAGCAGTGCACAGGAACAGCGAAAGCAAGACAAAAGACCATGGCCAATCTCAGTAGTACTAACAGCCTCTGGCATTGAAGAACATACCAAATTGACCTCACAGAAAAATTGCCTGCATGGCTTCAGGTAGAATCCTAACAAGCTCTATGTGGAAAACACTAAAGTTTCAGATCATCCAGAGATACTGTGTGGCCAACATAAATACAGAGATAAATAGCCTGGGGAAAAAGCAAAAAGGAAATCTTTACCAATATTTATAGATGTTTCCTTAGATAGGATATAAATGGGCTGCCATGCAGCAGATGTTAAAGCTGAAACATGAAAACTATATCACGTTGCATCTCCCTCTGTTGACAGACTCTGGGGAAGAAAGACAGTTTCCCAAGAGCGTAACTCATCAAGAAGCTCTGAGCTGTATAATTTCCATCTGTGTGAGATTATTTTCACACACTCATTTGCTGCTTTCTTATTTCAATTTCTGGATCAATATTCTATGGTACTTCTTAAAATTATGAAGATGTAACCAGTAATTATGAGCTGAAAAGGGGTTATTGAGAGATTATCAGTTTTGCTTGAAAGATTTTTATTTGGTATTCAGAACACTCTTATTTGCACTGCCTTCCAAAATGATGCTTTACATATATGTTTTACTGGTGAAATTTTATAACATATTCTACTTGACTTCCTGTTTCACTAAACAAGTAGAATTCTTCCAAGACTGGTTGGAACCAGGTAATAAAGAACTTGAAAAATTCTTCATTTTCTATTGCAGGGATCCTAGCAGTGGGTGCGTGGTGCACTGGTTCACAGTATAGACTTGAAAGGGAGAGGCTTGGGTTCAATCCTAAATCTGCCTCTTACTAGATGGGGTGTATAACCCAGCATCTCTGTCTAAACATGATAATAATAATGGCTATCTCATAAGGGTTTTATAGGAATTGAATGGATGTACATACATAAAATGCACATAGTAAGCACTTGTTAAATGTTACCTGTTACTATCCCAGTATGTTGGGTACCAGAAGACCTACAGGACTCTAGTTCCTCACCAAATGAATATGACACATAATGCTTACCATCTTTTTTGTATATGAGCTTAAGTTTCCTCACTCTCAAATATCATATTTTCATAAAATCGCAATTCATTTCAATTTATAAACATCAGACATGTGCCACAGAGATAAGGCCAAGTTCTAAACTTGGCTCACTCATTTCATAAGCTATGCTATCTGGAGCAACCTGCTTAGTTTCCTAATTTGTAAGCTTAGGATTACATTACCTACATATCAAGAGTTTATGTGAAAACACCCGTGCTAGCTTCTAAATTCAAGTTTAAAACTGAAAGTATAAATAAGGACTAAAAGGTATAACAGATAATGTGAAACAGGAAGAAAGGGGGCAAAGGGGAAGGGGAAGTGGGAGGGGTAGGGCAAAGGAAAGAAGGGAATGGAATTAATATGAGAAAATGAAAAAATGGAAACAAAGACTTTGTAAATAGGGAAGGATGGAGGGGTTGGAGGGCAGGGGAAGGGGGAAAAAATAAGAACCAAGAGAGATTATGTAAAGGTGCAGATTTCCAATGATGAATGTCATTATACTGTATACCTAAAATGTACCAATAAAATTAATTAAAAAAATAAATTCAAGTTTAAGCAAAACTAGTTCAAGCAAATAAAAACTAGTTTTCTATTACTTCTTCACAAAGACTGAGTAAAGTTTAATGAACTTCTTCAGGGAACTACATCATGTAAGTTACATCTTTACCTCTTAAATTTGTCCCAATGCATTAGATTTAGATGTCTGGAGGAGAGCAATTGTGTACTATGTGGAGATCTACAGTGGGTACATCTAATGGCTAACTCCAGTCCCTTCCCTCTTGCCTCTCTCTCTCATGTAATATAATAGTGAGCGAGTTAGGGACCATCATGGTGTGACTGTGGTAAGACAGAAGGCTTGGGATGACAAAATAAACTTCTGGGCAGAATAAACTGTTGTCCTTTGCAGCATGGCATACTTCAAGAGATCCATCATGAGATCCTGATCAAACCACAAAAGCAGAATGTTTGCATGAAAGAAAAACTGTTTTCCCCCTCCCCCACCCCAAAAAGCTAAATAAGCCCTCTAGCTTCACTGGCTCTTAGTCAATTAAAATCACTAATTTTGGAGGTCACACAGCTTTGCTGTAGATAACACCTCTGATGTGGGGGTTATAGTAACAGTTTCCTAGGTTATTTCCTCGAGGCATGAAGGCCACTTTTGCTGAGAACAAGAATTTTCACTTAGGCTTGAAGATGCCTGATTGAGACTAAAATGGGATAAAAGGCTTGGCATCTCTGTCTTCATCGTGTGCCTGTCTCCTTTGCTGTCTTAACCATTGAGTCATATTTTACTCAGCTCTGCATGTAGACACGCTGATCGCTTAAGAAATGTTTCTCCAAGAGTATTATACAAGGCTAACTTAGCCTATTGCCTGTGGGAGCTGGTATGTGTTTCCTATACTCCACCCTTGTGCTCTTTCAATAGCTCAAGCACTGAACATCCTTGTAAGCATCTCACAAGTTTACTCAAGATGATGAAGCCAGCTACAAGAGTAACTCAGTAATTCCTGAACAAAGTTGACCATCTGTTAGCCCACCAAGTACTGGACTGAGAAGTTTTGCGCAGGAAGTCTCCAGATATATAAAAATACCACACAGCCTCTAAGGCAAGTTGGCTGTGACCACCTGGTTGGTGGTCCAAGTCCATCACAAGAAGAAACATCTTTTAAAACTATGCCCTGGCCAATGAAAATTACCAGATTTTAGCCCACCACAGTCAATCAATAAAAACCTGCTGTGATAGTTAACTTATTGTGTCAACTTGAGTAAGAAATGCCCAACTAAATTGGATCAGCATAGTTCTGGATGTGGCTGAAACGATTTACCGAAGAGAGAAGACACATCCTGGGTGTGAGTGACAGCAACCAGTAGGCTTGTCATCTGAATAAAATAAAAGGGAAATATAGAAGGAATGCTTGCTTCTGTTTTTTCAGAGGAGCTCCAGTCTTCACCTTCACCTTGGGCGTTGCCTTCTGACTTCAAGGGCAGATTCTTCAGCCTCCATCACAGGCCCTTCAGCATCCTGATATGGACTCACATGGGACACTACAGTGAGCTCCAGGCCTTTGACTGGATCCTTCGCATCTCCAGCTCACGACAGCCCCTTTGCACTCTTCCACATCTGACTCTGTGGGCAGCCATTGTAAGCCAATCTTGTAAATCCTTATATATTTGAATATCTTGCATTAAATGTTTCTCTAGTAAGCACTGTCTGATACACCTGCTCCTCTCTGTTCTGTGAGCAACAGCTTGGTCCCTCTCTCAACCAATTGCTGACTCTCTTCAACCGAAGTTCCAACGTGGCTGAAACCTCTTTTCCCCTCCCCCAGTAAAGCTGTGCCTACACAAGAATTCATGTGTTTGCAATATCTGGCCCTTTCTCATTTCTAAGATCTCTGTGTCAAAAGATCTCACCATCTAGGATCAATGTTATTAAATATCAGCTAAAGTAAAAATCCAGTTTCCCACCTTGTTTACTCAGGAAGCCAGGGCATATGTAAATGCAACACTAGGCTATGCTCCTGTCTCTTTCTGCTGTAAATGCAGGTACCATGACTGGATCTATAGCAGCCACCCCTTGATCACAACAAAAAAAGCCTGAGACCATCTTAGAGGCTTTTGCCTATTATCATTAAGCTGCTGATTCAACAGTAACAATCAGCTACTCTTTGCACTTTTCTGTTCTTAAAGCCAAAAGTATTCCTAATGGTTAAGTGGACTTTTATTTAATACTGTTTTACAAATCTGTAAAAATCAATCTAATTTCTTATTACAAAATTTCCATCATAAAAGACGAAACTGTTTTCTGTAGAAAATATTACACATGACAATGTAACTCCAAAAAATGCAGTCAATGAATATTTATACTTTTCTGATGAATAATTAAACTAATATTTCACCTTTCACAAAATATAAACAATTCAGATAAACTCCCAAGTGTCAAATGATAAATGTGACTGGAACACTGACAAAATGAGCTATTAACCCCATCACTTTGTTTCATGTTTTATACTTTCTGCAGCACTGCTGGAGAGGGAGAGAAGAATTAGAAATATCATCAGGGAGTCAAAATGAAATTCAACTCTAGGAAAAGGATGGAAGGGAGAGAAATGACCACCATCTGGTGCCTATAGTAGTAGAGAAATAGGTAATAAAATAATAGTCCAGAAGTGTTATGGTATCAATTTAAAATATCCCCTAAAAGTCTCATATGTTCAGAGTTGACGTATTCAGAAGGTGTCTGGATCACTAGGGATAAGTTTGTAGCTGAAAGGGCTATTAGGAGGTGGGGCCTAGTTGGAGGAAGTAGGTCACAGGGGCTGTGACTAAGAAGTGTT